CTGTTTCCATATGGTCATGCACCTCCTCCCCAGCTCTTACAATCTTTCTGCCTCCTCTTCCACAATGGTCCCTGAGCCCTGAGTGGATGGAGTTTAATATAGGAGTCCTCTCCAGGGAACCACAATTTGCAGACTCTTATTCTCTATGTTTTGGTCATTTGTGGTCTCTTGGTTGCCCTCTGTTGCATGAGAGAGCTTCACTGATGAAAGTTGAAAGATGCATTAGTGTTCTCTTCATCCCTTGTTCTATGTTCCATGAGCTTTCGATGTACAGGCTGCATCCTAGATATGTCCCCTAAATTTGGGCAATTCACAATCTCTGTGTGGCCAGTTGTGGAATCTGTAATTATCTCTGTCCTTGAAAAAAAAAAAGCTTCTTTGATGGGTGGTAATTGGGATACTTGGTCCATAAACTTAAGAATCCATATTTGGCACATAGTAAGAAATTGCATTCTTTGGGGTTTTCTCTAAGATCTATGACCTCTCCAGATTTGGCTAGGAGCTCCCATTGAGTGGACTTTTAGTCCAATTAGGTAGCTGTTGATTACCCCCAAGACAGAAGTGCCACTACTGCACCAATGTCGTCTGCTGTGTTGGTAACTGATGTGGTTGTTAGGCCTTGGAGCTGGGGTTGGACCATCGACTGATGTTCTCTCTTAGCAGCTTGCTTCAGGCTCTGCAAAGCTATGAGAGCTAGCCTTCAGGGGAGAGGCTTCCAGGTCAGTTTAAGCTCCATCGCTCCAAATCCTGTGTCCAAAGTATGCCCTGTCTCCGTAACAGAGTCTTACCTTCAAGTTCTGGGAGGCAATCAAGGACTGCAGCAATAGCCTGTATAATTTTGGGAGTCTCTTGGACAACCCTGGCCAACAGCTCAAAGGAAAGTTTGATGAACGTTTAAAATTCAGAAGCTTTTACAGCAGCTCAACCTGAAGAATTGAGCTCTTTTTAAAATTGGCCTATACCAATTTAAGTTAATGCATCTTTCTTTAAAAAAATTTTTGTATGTATGTGGGTGTTTGTGTGCACCTGTATGTGCACACCTGCACGCTGGTACACTCTCCCATGTACATGTGGAAGCCAGAGGTTGGCATCAGTTGTCTTCCTCTGTCATTCTCCAACTCACTATTGAAGACTGGGTGTCTCACTGAGTCCAGTGATCACAGATGCAGCTACATAGTCCAGCTGGTGAGCTCTATGGCCTGCCTGCTCTCCACTCCTCTAGTGTGAGAGTTACAGACAAGTACAAACACACCTGCTTTTACCTGGGCACTGGAGATCTGAACTCAGGTCTTCATGCTTGCATGGTAAGTACTTTACTAACCAGATCATCTCTCCAGCCTCAGGTCTAACACCAAAAACAGTCTTGGTACCAGATTAAGTGATTCAGAAATACAGCATTTACTTATAGCTTCATAAAGTAGTCAATGCTTATTTTTCTTAGCAGTGGAGTTATTTGTTCTTAAACTGATAATAACTTTGGACAGTAAAAACTTTTCCTTATTCCCTGTGGCAGACTGAATTATGTGCCACAAAAGTATACCCATGTCCTTGCCCAAGGACCTGTGAATGGAGCCTTGCTTGGAAACAGAATCTCTATAGAGAGGCACTCAAGTTTCAATGAGGTCAGACTAGGGTCGGGTGGGTCCTGATGTTATGTGACTGGTATCCTTTTAAGAAGACAGAATGCAACTGGAAAAGGCATGAGTCAACAGATTTCATTGCACTCTGTTCACAGTCTCCTCCCTGTGGATCCATAGTTAAAAATATGCATGATGTATGCTGCAGCATGCAGCCTGTAGGCCAGTGGTCTATTTATGGGTTTGACCGGACTGGAGACATGAGGACGCTTGTTAATAGACTGTGATTACCAGATGGTTCTGGAAGAGTCTGCTTCAGTTCTCTAGCTCTCGTGCTATGTTGTATATGTAGCGGTCAGAGGACAGCCTCAGGTGTTGGCCCTCCCCTGCCACCTCGTTGGAGACAGGGTCTGTTGTTTGCTCCTTCTTATACCAGGCTGACTGGCCTGTGAGCTTCTGGAAATTCTCATGTCTTTACCTCCCACACTGTAGGAGTGCTGGGATTGTAGGTGTGCAATACTGTGCCTGGTTGTACGTGGGTTCTGGGGATTAGAACTCAGGTCCTCACTCTTGTAAGGCAAGTGCTTTATACACTGAGCCATCTCCTCCACTCTCTCCAGCTCTTCTTATGAGTCTATCATTTTCTAGATTGATAATCCTGAGGGAAAGGGCACATTGATTCTCTCCACAAGAAGGAAAATAAAGACAGGAAGACCAATGGACACCATGTCTGGGAACCAGTTGGCATGTCCCCACACTGAAGAGGACATGGATTGAGAGGGTCATCCTAGTGTTGCCGCAGATGAGTGATCTCTACTTGGCAGTGTGGACTGGGGCCTGTGCTATGTGGGCTCAGCAAAAGCCATTGCTCAAACATCAATGAGAATTCCCAGGGTATGTCCTTCCACACAGTGGAATGATAGGGTTGGGGGAGGCAGTGGCCTGGGACTCAGCACTGCTGGCATATTGTCCTGTCAGTCTGACCACAGTGCTCATCCTGAATTCCCTCCCCTGAAAGGTAAAGGTCAAGTCACAGTCTTCTCTTTTAACTTCCAATACCTGGGGAACCTATTGCCAACTTTATCACCATAGTCAGGACCCACTGGTGAGTGAAGGGTGGTCAGAGCTGAAACTGCTTATAATAAGAAGTCTGGTCTTTTGTGTGGAGGGGTCAGCTCACTATGGATGGGTTTTGTTCACCAAGGAGCCATGAACCAAGATATGGACAACCAGGCAGGAGGCTTAAAATGCAATGACGTCCTGTGGCAGTGTGGCCTTCAAACTGAGAGGGACTGTAACATTCCCCTTGTAGAATCCGAAGCTGGCTAAGCTTTTGACCTAATTTGTTTTTGTTCCTTGTATGCATGTTATGAAATCCTACTTAATAGAAGCTTGGTTTTATATACACTCACTTGCTGAGAAACACAGCTTTGTTTTGTTAATAGATCATAGTCAAAATTCACTTCCCCTCCCAGAAGGGAAGACAGGGTAACTTGAAAAAACTAGATAAAACTAAGCCTTTTCAAAATTCATTGAGAATTAGGACACCTATGTCCTGACAACTCTTTTAAAGGCTTTTAAAATAGGTGACTCCTCCAGATAGATGAGACATTCACTCACAATTGAATTTCTATAATTAATCTGTGTGATTGGAAGATGGTGAACCCTCAGTGGAGTCCAAGTTGAATTATAAATGAGTTTCCATAAAAACATACATTCAGTGTTTAAATCAAACAAGAAACTGGTTCTGTTCCAGTTTAGTTTGGTAATTCTTTTAATGTCTGAACTGGTTCTAATTCAATCATTTTAGAAATACGGGTTTGATTTAAATAGATCCCGCTGTGTTTTATGTGGAGGAATTGTATGTGGTTATGGTTTATTTGAGTATTTGTATTTTCGTGTGAGAAGTCTGAATCATTTCAGCTGTTTAGTTTTCACGTAGGTTTTCCTCTGCATCCTATAATTCATTCCGCAGTCCTCTGGGAAAGTCGCACCTGTCCTCAAGGATATTTCAATGCACAGTATTTTTCTAACTTGAAACCTGACACCCCGGGAGGGCCACAGTCACGCATCCTTATGCACCTCCTTATATACTGGATATCATTACAAAGAGCAGGCTACAGAGGTGGCTCATCCACTAATTAATAGCACGTACTGCTCTTGCAGAGGACCTGAGTTCACTTTCCAGCACCCATGTCAGGAAACTCACAACCATCTCTAACTCCAGCTCCAGGGGATCTGCACTCACATGTGCGCGCGCACACACACACACACACACACACACACACACGCACACAGGCACACACACACGCACACACACACACACACACATCTTTATATTTACAGACAAGTATTCCAGTTACCACTCATCAAAGAAGCTTCTTTTTTAACAGGCAGAGATTATTAGAGTTTCACAACCGGACATATACAGAAATTGTCTGTGAACTGCCCAAACCTAAGTGTCACATCTACAATGCAACCTCTACACCTAAAGCTCGTGAACCACAGTGGAGCAATGGGTAGAGAGAACACCATTACATCTCTAAACTCTCATCAATGAAGACCCCTCGTGTCACAGAGGGAAATGAACAAAAAAGGACACAAATGGCCAAAGCATAGAGAACAAGTCTGCAGAATGTGGGTCTTTGGACAGGACTCCTATATTAAACTACAGCTCAGGGACCATTGCGGAAGATGTGGGAGTGGGAAGATGATAGAAGCAAGGAAGGAAGTGCATGACCACATGGAAATAGACTTCTACAGGTTCCTGGGACCTCGCTCATGTGAACCTACTGATCAATAGTGTGAGCATGCAAACTCAAGCATATAAAAACCCAGCACAGAGCTGTGGAAAAGGGCAAAGGGCCCCAATCTTAGCAAAAGAACTATTGACAGATGATTATTGCTGGGTGAGGGAGAGCTGATCCTCCTAAAGGACTCTAAATATGCTGACTAGATCTCAGTGGGTGAACTTGCTGCACTGAGGGACATCTGGGGACACAGATGACTGGATAGGACTTAACACAAATGACAGAATGCATGAATTCCAGTGTGTGTGTGGTCTATGGGAGGGTGCCAATGAGGAAGGAGGTATAAAGATGATTAAGTTGTTCTATATGAAATATACAAATATTTTAATTAAAAATTTACAAAAACACCAAAAATTGAAAAAATTAAGAAGCAATAGTAATAATAAAACAATCCTCATTAACTAAACTAAAAATTTAAAATAAATCTTTAAAAAATGATATAAACCCATCAGTGATGGAGAATAGCTTTTTCTCTTCCTGTGATGGTCCAAGGTCAGCTTCTCTCTGCTGTGTGCATACTGAGAGTGGTACAGATAGTCAACAGGTCTTACTGGTCACAGGGTCTCTGCCTCCCTGGGCACAGGGACCTTTTGCTGGCTCGCTGTTCACTTACCTCCAGTTACATGTTTTTTCCTCTCACAGAACTGCAGCTCCCAGTACTGTATAAAGCAACTGGACACATTGTTGAGTGTGGTTTTGGTATGTCCAAAGGCTTCCAAGATGCACATGGCCTGCAACATGAGAGAGAATTTGGACTCCTCATTAAAAATATATAATTGGAATGTAACAGTAAAGATGCAAGGAAATATTCTATTATCTAGAAAGTTCTATGCTTTTCACAAAACACTATGCTGAATTTTTTTAGGTTACTGTTTCTTCCTCAAATGCAGACTATGAGTGTAGTGTATCAGAAATTGTGGCCATGGTAATAAATTGACACGCACTTTACCTCCACTTACTATTTAAATGGATGATAATATTATCCATACAAACACACACAAACGCACACATAGGTATGTGTGTGAGCATGCACACACATATAATTTACCACGTACAACTTGAAATTTTAAACTTTAATAAAGTAGTAGATTGCTTGACACATGAGTTTGTGACCACACATGTGTGTGTATGTGTGTATGAGAGTGTGTGATTATACTGAATGTATATGGTGTGTGTGCATATGTGTGTGGATGACCTCAGGTGTCCTGCTCTAACATTCTCTACCTTATTCCCTTGAGACAGGGCCTGTCACTGAACGTGGAGAAAAACTGGCAGCCAGGAGGCCCCAGCAATCCTCCTGTCCCTGCTCTTACCCACCTGCCCCTGATAGTGCTGGGTTATAGGAATATAGGTGACACCCAGGCTTTTTTAACTAGATCCTGGGAATTTGAACTCAGGTCCTTATCCCTGCGTAGCAAGCTCTCTTAATCACTGAGCCATCCCCCCAGCCCCTTGATGTTTTTAAAAAGAAGTCAAAATTTCTTCTAAAATAATTAACTTGTGTGAACATCTGCAGTCATCTGGATCCTCACATATTTCCACACACTGTCTTTTTCTGTCTTTTGACACAGGGTCTTACTTGAAGCTTTGCTGGCTTGGAATTCACAGACCAGGTTGGCCTCAAACACACAGAGATCCACCTGCCTCTACCTCCCAAGTGCTGGGATCAAAGTCGTGTGCCACCACATCTGGCCTATTTCTACACACTCTTCAGTCTCCAGCCCACTGACCTCTTCCTTGACCTTGATGTACCCCATTGAAATACATCCCCTCCTTCAGAAACGTAACTAAACTTCTAGATGAAGGCTGTTCCTGACTCCTCCCTGTCCTGCGGGTGGTCTCTGAGGTGGTGAGTTAGAAGTTCTGAAACTCTAGTGTAAAGCTCCTCAGGTAGATCCTGGGATCTGATATTCTTTCTGGACAAGTTTCTTCAAATATTGAAAATGAAATGAAAGCCACTTCTTATCCATCAACTGACTATACATCTGATAATTTTGGTGACAAAGCAATTCTCCAAAAATATTTGAAAGTCTGGAAGGTTCTTTCTCTTTCAGGCTATTACAAGGAATATGTTAGCTGCAGTTTCTGAGTCAGCCACAAGGTGGCAGAAAAGTACCCGCTAGTGTTTCCTTGGTTCCTCATCCTTTAATTAACATTAATTTTGAGAAATTATTATAAAATTTTAACAAATGTTTTGAGTGTACTTTAACATTTTTTGGCATTTGCTATACTCAGGCACTTATTCATCCCAGAAACGTTCTATATTATTGATTACAAAACAACACTTTTCCTAATCACAAATCAAAAATGCTGAAAGTTGTGATAATGAAGCATGCTTAACCATCTGTTTTGGAAGCTTGAATGTTTGAAGATATGTTAAATCCTTACAAAAGTATATGATTTTGGCCTGCAAAATAATTTGATCAAAAGTAAATTGACAGCAGAGAGGACAAAACTGTTTTCTGGAAAAAAAGAATCAGTGATCAGTGGGCTATTTTTCTTGCTAAAGACTTTATGGCATAGGTAAATATGTATGTGTTAAAATTGATATTATAATTCTATCCCATGATAGAAATGTGTTAGTAAATGGTTAAAATCATAAAATGGGATGAATTTACAGTATTTTAACTTCCGGTTATTTTCTTGCTATCTGATGATAAAGCAACTTTTATTTTTCTACAAGGAAGCTGATGATGGGTGATGGATGATATGTTCCCAGCTAGGAAGTGTGGGAAATGACTAAATAAATGCACATGCTTGGGGGGGGGCTCTGCTTCCCTGTCTCAGGTTCTGTGGCACTAAACAGGTTCTTGATAAGCCCCCCCCATCCCCCAATCACATTTTCCTTCATCCTAACACAGGAATGACTTCTCTGGCACGTCTCAGGATTGTGCATGTAAAGCACTCAGCCTTGTCCTTGTCACAGAGTAAACAGACTACAGATGATTGGTTTGGTTTCTGTCAGTAACTGTAAGCCACGGTTTCTAACCTCATCACCTGTGTCTTCACTCTACCAAAAATGGCATAGAATAAGCAACTGTCTTAGACTCAGAGACTAAACATTGTCACTGGGATTTGAACCCAGGCAATCTAGCTGCAGGCTCCCACACTTAATCTCACCTTAATCACACTTAATCACATAGCTATTGTGTTAGTATAGGGACAAAGACAAGACATGTGAACCAAGAAACTAATATGGAGCAAAAGAGATTTTTTAAATGTAAGTTTTTAAATAGAACTTTCTTGTAGCACTCACTGCTCCGTATTTCCAGACAAGCTCCGCAATAACCCCCGGTTTTCTTATTTAATTCACCAGTCCGCCAATAGGTGGCACTAAATAAATTTGTTAAAGAGAAATGTTAAGACAATCCCCAAACAGTGTCATTTCACTGCTCTTGGTGACTTTCAAACAATACAATCATAAAAATTTAAATATAAATTAGAAAAGTTACATATACACATCCTTAGTATTTACTGAGTGAAATTTTATTGGTATCTCTTTTTTTTTCATTTATACTGCATGGTATACATTTCAATAGTTATAATGATTATGTGCTATTCAAGTAGCAGTTAATCTATTGTAAATAGATGTCTGTAAGCTCCTTAATGAACATCTACATGCCTCTATCAATCAAACTGATTGGGTCACTCCTTTCCACAAAGGGACTGCTAATAAATGCTTATTTAGCTGATCTGAGTGTACCAGATGTTTTGGAAATTCATTTGGGCTAGAATTGGCCAGAAGTTCCAGGTAATTTCTTTCCAAAATATGGCTTTTCTGTTCCAATATACCCAATAACATGAAAAAAAAAAAAAAACCCTGCTTCTGATGTTTGGGATTCAAATATGGGGATTAGAAACAGAAGAGTGCTTGTTAATGGATCTCTGTCTCTCTGATACTCTGAGAAAGAAGAGCGGTATCCCAGAGGATGGAGGAGAGCAAAGCCACCTGTGGAGGCTGGACAGGAACCCGCAGGACTTCTAGCAGGTGGCAGAAGCGACATGAGCCAGGAATTCAGTTTGGCTTAGGGAAAAAGTGTGGGCTCATGTCTGGACCTGAGCGTCCCCTCACGCCACAGTACCGTTCAGACCCAGCTGTATCTTTGTCCCCACGCCTCCCTCAGGACCCCAGGAACACCAGGCTGCTATCAGTCTTGAACTTGCTGGCCCTCGCCCTCCCAGGTCCCTTCCTCTGATCTTCTGAGACTGTGAATGTAGCATTGATAAGGGTGTCACTGGTGCCATCTGCAGGAAGTCTCTCTCTTGGTCTTCTGTATGACTGTCCCCTGGAGAAGCCACCTCCGCCTCCGTACACCCTCACTTTTATTTCTCTACCTTTATTTGAACTATTTTTCTTTCTTTACTAACTGGGGATAGATGAAATCTTCATGGACTTCTCTCGCAGCAGTAGGATTCTGGGTAAAGCTGTCTGCTTTAGAGGCCTCCATCCTTCCCCAGTGGGAGGTGTCCTGGGCCCCTTCCCATCTGATTGGATGAAGGCTGTCACTGAGGGCTCACAATCAGTACATTCTGTCTTGGGGAGAGCTCACCTGTCCCTCCCAGTGTCTCCTAAGAGTGTCCTGTCAACTTAGCTGGCTCAGATTTCAAACTTTCTTCTAAATAGCTCTGTATAACAAGGACATCCTCTGCTCACTTTGCTAAGTAGATTCTCTCTTGCAGGGAACACTGGTCTGTCTCTAAAATCTACTGCATTTCACAAGCACTCTGCAATGCTATCCAGATTTACAGACTGTTCATAGATTTTTCTAAAACTTGCATGAAATTCCTGCACATGTCCTGGGATGCTTTGCTAAAACCGTACCTGAGTAGTTTTGATGAGCTTCTTAGACAATGATATTTGTGTATGGATGAATTTCAAAGAGGGGGGAAAGCCCACAGTTGATATGATGTTTAAGCCATGCTCAAACCTGGATAATACTTTTCATGAGATAGAAATCATTTATGGGCAAGCAAGTTGGCTCAGTGGGTAAAAGCACTCACCACCAAGTCTGACAACCTGAGTTCAATCCTTGAGTCCTACATGGTGAAAGGAGAGAACTGAATCTGGAAGTTGTCCTCTGATCAGTTCATGTGCACTGTGGTACACATGTGTGCACCTCCACACTGACCCACACCCATACACTAAATGTAAAAAATAGAAACAACTTATCGGTGTCATCTTTTGTGTATTGTGAGGAATTAGTAAAATACACAAATGAATTAGGAAGCATTTTACTTAAAATCTGCATGGTTTTGATTTCTCAGAGCCGGTGGGTTTGAAGAGTTACACCTGACTTTATCACAGGAAAGCAACTTAGGATGTATTTACTCCAACTGAACTGCAAAGTCAATTTACATGAAGCAATCCAGAATGTGTCTCAGAAATGCCTGCTCTCCCATCAGAGATCATGCTAATAAAGATTATCTTAGCCTGTAATTTAGAGGGAGACTGCTGTTCTCTGTCATTTCAATTAAGTCAATGGATTCTGGTATTTCCATTAGTTAACCCGCATTTACTTTATAACCATGTTGATTTATTCATGTTCTTACTGTATCAGTCATCATCAGTAGATTAGCAAAATTTGAACAAAGAGGACAGGTTCACCCTCCTTCCCACATTGACTACAATGGCTACATTATTTGGAGTTGTGGGGTGGAGAACCATGGTGCTCAGTATGGTACACGCTTCACAAATGGCCATGGATTAAAACCATTAACGAGCATAGACGATACCATATGATAAGTTCAGGATTTTTTGTTGTTTGTTTCTTTTGAAACAGGGTCTCCCTGTAGCCTCAGCTGGCCTGGAACTTGCTATGTAGGCCAGGCTGGCCTTGATCTCACCAAAATCAACCTGCCTCTGCCTCCTGAGTGCTTGGATTAAAGGCATGTATCACCACACCGAGCCTCAGAATTGATTTAATACACAATCTTTTAAAAAACATTTTATTTATTATTTTTATTTTATGTGTACGAGTATATTGCCTGCATGTATGTGAGTGCACCCATGTCACGCAATGCCCACAGAGGTCAGAAGAGAGTTTCAGATTCCCCCGGAACTGAGGTTGGAGACTGTTGTTAGTTGCCACATGAATACTAGGAATTGATCCTGGGTTCTCTGCAAGAGCAGACAGTGCTCTTAACTGCTGAGCCATCTCTCCAGGCCCTTTAATACACAATCTTTATTAATAGAAAAATCTCCCAACTCAGGTATAAGTTAGCAATCTATTAGAGGTAAATTCAAAACTTTAAGGGCTTATAGGTGGAATTAAAGGCATAAGAAAACAATACTCATCTACTGACCAAACAGAAGTTCCTCCAACTTTTAGAGGATGAATCAAGTACTATGAATTTCTAGAACATTCCTGAAGTAGTGACCCCACAGTAACAATAATTGTATTATTTTTCTGAAATGGTCTAAAGATACAGAAGCTATTTCACTCCAGCTTCATCAGCTGCTTTTAAATATAAAAACACTGCAGAAAACATAGGTGTCGCCCCACGCTGTGTGTGCAGTGGGATGCTAGATTGACGCAGCGGGCAGGCATTGGCGCTTCTGCATGTATAGCACGTCAGCTTGGAATGAGCTCTGACAGAAAGCTTGGACCAAACTAGTATGCTCTGTGCATTATTTCTGGATTGGAGGGAGCGATGCAATAATCTCATTTCCTTGAAAGTCACAAAGAGTGTGTTGATTTATTTTTAGCAAGATGAACTGAACATGACCAAACATGATTTTCAATACAAACATTGAAAAGTCTCTTGATAATGTCTGATTTTTTGGGAGCAAGTGTTTCTTTCCTACTGTTGGACCAAAAAATAAAACAGAAAGAAAGGGAGCAAATCTCCTCCTGTCCAACTGAGGCAGGACAGGGGAGACAAGAATCAGAAAATGCCTAGCCTGGTGTTGAATCACACCTACACATAAACGCTCATCAGAATTTGCAGGTTCTCCGGTGCATGCAACTGGCTTGTCTGTATTAAGTTTATTTGATTATATTAATGTTAATTAAAGAACCTAGAGTAACTAAATGTTTTCTAGGGATGCCGAAACACTTGAAAATCTTTTATTCCCATATTCATTTATTTACAACATAGACACTAACCTCCTAACATGTGTCAAGCTGAGGTGGGCTCCCTGAGTTCAAAGGACGGGCGCTTGTCAACACTTAAAGGGACACTGTTTAGATGAGGACAAAGGTATGAAAAAAGAAGCTTTCCCACAGGGCAAGAGGACAAGGAGGGTAGGCTGTAAGTCCAGAGATGTCAGTGACAACATCAGGAAGTGTTTTCAGTCATGCCAGTTAATGCCACTTGATATCCAGGGAATTAAATTCTTCAGATCTTTTGAGAAAAGACATCATGAAGATAGAGACCTGGACCAGTCCACGCACAGCAGCTCTTCTCTTCTTCTAGTTAGTGGCTTAATCTGAACACAAGGCTACTTACACTGAACACAGCTCTGTGAGTATTGCAAGCCTACAACTGGGAACAGATGTGAGGTAGTGCTTCCTCATGTGAGAAGCCCTCTCCCTGGTCTAGAACCTTCTTTCCTCTTCCCCTGATTTTCTGTGAAGATGTTGGGCCCTAAACATTCACGAGGAGCAAAGTATTCTATCCTTCAAGACCCCTTGAAGGTATGTATGTAGATATGATTGGGAGATGGTCCACCATGGGGGAAGAAGAGACCCACTCAGAACTGCCTCTGAGATAACTCACAATGTGGACCTTGGGCCTATGGAATGATGATGGGTCTATGGCTGATGAGGCAGATTATGGGATGCTGTTAGAGAGGGAAAGAGAGATGGAGTCAGTGTAAATTCTAGCCTGCAGGCCATGATGAGAAAGAAGTTGCACCATGGCTTGTGCTGAGCAGCATAGGAAGGGTGTTAATTCAATGTGAATCTTTGAAGTATGCAGTGGCATATCTAGAAGTCTGCAGGAAAGCTGGTCTGCATCCTCAGAGGGATTAGAGATAAAGACTAAGATGGGGAATGTCTGGCTTGCTGATGGGACTGAATCACAGGGCTAGAGGCACAATGATGGTGTCTTCCAGCATAACAGATTATGCCAAACTGAGGATGATCTCCATGAGCTCCAGTTCCTGCAGAACCATTTTCAGTCCAAATGCTCACAGGTGGAGGGTCTGTGTGATCTTCAGATGGAGGCCCAGGACAGCAGACTGTTGAGGTCTGCTCCCTTCTGTGACAGGTTATTGTGATCCTCAGCCCACATTGTCAAGGTGACTGGATTTGGGGGTCACCATGGAACGATCCTCTGAGACTGACTATGAGCGTTTGAAGAAAGGTTTACCTGAGGTAGGAAAGCCCGCCTTGAACAACATTCCACGAGCTAGGATTCTGAACTAAGTTAAAAGAAGAACGCAAGGTGAGCACCAGCATTCATCTGCCTCTGTTTTCTGGCTACAGAAGTGATGTGAGCAGCTGGTGACGCCGTGCCTTCTCCACCCATCGCAATGGACTGCACCCTCACACTGAGAGCCAAAAATAAGCACTTTCTTCCTTAAGTTGCCTTTGTTAGTGTATTTTGTTGCAGCAATGAGAAAAGCATCCGATATAGTTACTGATGGGTTTTCTGTCCATTCCCTACCTCTGTGGTCCTTCTTGTGTTGGTGGGTTGTATTGCAAGAAGCTTCCAGTCCTAAACTACTGTGGTCTGACACATGCTGTGAACCAAGCAGGCTGTAACCATTCAAACAAGAGGACCAGCCTATGGACAAGCACTAGTCAGGTCTTCTGAGCACCATCGCTAACTTTGCTGTGGATAACTGTCTTAGCTTCAGCTTCTTGGATGACAGTAAAACTTTGGGCTTCCTCCTTGAACTCTGGTAGCAATTTGCCCAGATGATGCATTGAAGGAGATGACTAGCAGGGCCAAGGGTTTTGGAATTCTACTGAATACAACAGTACAAATGTTTCTGAGTTACTTTAGACTCATGCTGGGTTGAAGGCCTGCGCACCAATGTCATTTGGGTTTACTACTGCCACTCCTTTCAGATGTTGGTGTTTTATTACCAGCTCTAAGATTCCCCCACAGGCCAGTCCCCATCAGCAGAGCCAGAGGAATTTTCTATGTGAACAAACAAACCAACAGAAAAACCTAACTACATTAGCTATTCTAAGAGCAAAGAGATATTACCAAGAGCAAATGTAAAAATGAAGTATGTTCCAAATACTTTTAATTTCATAAAAGAAAATTTAAACATTTACTTAATATTACCTTACATCTGGGCTCAATTTCTTTTGTTTTTTCTTTTTCTCTACAAAGTTTGACCACTTTCTGTGATGGTGGCCCCTATATTATCATGTGACATCATTCCTGCCTCAACCCACCCACTCACACATTTGCTAACCCAGAGCAACTTACGTGCTTGAATCTGGAGTCAAACATAGCCCGGCTAGAGCTGGTCCTACAGGTCAGATGCCTCACTATCTGCTTGCTGGCTTCGGTCTTCCCCGATCCTCTCTCTCCACTGTGAGAAAATGGGGGAAACATAAGTTCACTGGCTTGGAAGAGGCAATAAATAGATAGATAAATAAATAAATAGTAAATAACTAAATAATCAGAAGTAGATAATTGTCAGACCCAGGGACAGCAAGAGATGATCATAACACTTATTACTGAATTGATGGTTGATATAGCCTCATTTTTCAATTTGATGTCTGTTGTAATCATTGAGTCAGCACATGCCCTGTCATGCATGCATTGGTATGTTAGTGTCAAGACTATAGACCAATACCACCCAACGTCTGCACTGCAGTGGCCACCCAAGCACAGAGCCACGTGACCAGGGAGCACAGTGGGAATATTGGCAGGGAAGGTACGGGACTTGACGTCAATGTTGTAAGTGCAAGTCAGGGAGGGATTCCAGGGTGACAGCAGACCAGAGCAGGAAGGACACATGTCTGTCCTGGAGCTACACACCACCTGCCAGGGGAAGCTTCCGAATTCTCCTGAGCCTCCTAGCAAAGTTGCCACAGCTACGTTTGGAAATGCCCCATATCTTTTTGTGCATTAGTTTCCCTGTAGAAAGAGCCTGGGTCAAGTCAGTACACACGCTGATGGAAGAAGCTCATGAGACAAGGGGAGCACTCCTTGCCCTTGGCAGACCCTAAAACAAACTTTTCTCAGTGGATTTTGGTCCTAAGTGTGTGCGATGTGCATTTTTTAACATCTAGAATCAGCTAATCACCAGTAACAAAGTTACAATTTATAATGACATCCCAGAGCTGCCTTGTAGGCATACTTCATTCATTCATTCATCAAATTTTCACAAACAGTAATTGTTATTGCCCTGACACTAGATGACAGTTTATGAACGCAGCAGCCCCACATGGCAATTACAAAGGTGTTGCAGATTTAACAAAGTGGTTTATGGATCCAGATAGATCATTCAGAAACAGGCTTTATTTATCTAATTGCCATTTTGCAGAAGACCCGGGTTCAAATCCCAGCACCCATATGGCAGCTAACAACTGTCCATAACTCCAGTCCCAGGGGATCCAACAGCCTCTTCTGACCTCTGCGGGCATTGCATGACATAGGTGCACCTACCTCCATGCAGGCAATACATGCATACACATAAAATAAAAATAATAAATAAAAAATTTAAAAAAGTATTTTACAAGTACTTTCTCAGATTCCTGCCTTGGAATATATATTCTAATTAATTAAATGAATTAAAGGGCATTTGCCAGAAAACTTTTGGAATTTTAATGATTTAAATCTCAACCTGCTACAGATGCTTCCCGTCTCATTTCAGCTACCCTTATTCATGTGAAATACTGAGACACAAAATCATCTGCTTTAAAATGTGATCTTAAAATAGTTTTTGAATAAAATAATATGTTTCTGATCTGGTACTGATTTATAGAATATCTATTTCAGGAATATTTAATTTCTTCCAGGACACAAGCAAAGCTCAGTAAATGAACGTGAAGGTTTGGTTGAACTCCTCAGGGCCAAGCTGGATGCAGGTGAGGCAATAGAGGAAGGCCTCTCCTGAGTCATCCCAACCCAGGAGGGTCCGAATCTTATCACAGTGCAGAATAATCCTGTCACAGGGAAGTCCTGTGATCTCAGACCAGGCCTTTGGTTTGTTTTGCTTATGAAGACTTCTGACTCTGTTGTAAAACTTTAATAAAAATAAATGAATTTTTTTCCAAATTAGTTTTTTTTTCAAGTAAGTGCCTGATATATGCATTATTAAGCCTTAAAGTATGTCTCAAAGGAGCATTAGTACAGAATGTTAGTGAAGACTTCTGAGGGGGAAAATCTCCAATGAGAAAAAGTTTGTAGAAATTAGACTGAACACGGACTGGCAACATGGTTCAGTGGGTAACAGTGCTTGCCTCTAAGCCAGATGATCTGAGCTTGATTCCTAGAACCCACATCTGAAAGGCAAGAAACGATTCTCAAAAGTTGTTCTCTTTCCTCCACATGAGTTCATGCAAATATTTTTTTTTGAAAAAGAAATAGGCTGAACAGATAGAGGCAGGTTTGTCCATGGTAGGTGCCTGAGGGCACTATGGGCTCCCTGGGGCAGATCCCCAGAGGACAGCCACACTGGCACCTCCCCTGCAGAGCAGAGTTAGGAACCAATGCTTTCAGAACTCAAGGCCCACCACTGGAGGGAGTGCTTTACAGTTCAGTGACTCAGTGAGGATTTTGGCACGTCTGTGGATTTGTGGGAAGGCGTTTTAGGGAAGACTGGGTAGGGTTCTTGCTCTCCCTGTGGGTCACAGCAAGAGACTGGGATGGCTGCAGTGGTGTTTGGCTGCTTTGTGGTTCAGAAGCTGGACCCGGGTTTCACATTTACTGATCCTAAGGCAGTACTTATAAAGTGAGCCCCTGTAACAGTCACATGACACATGGAATGCCCTAATTCTCATTATTCTATAAATGACAATATTACTCATCTCACAGGGTTTCTAAGGAGAAAATAAGCTAACACATAGGAAACGCCTCACCAAGGAATGGCAAAGGGTAGGTGATCAACAAATATTAGATGTCGTTATTGTCAACACCATTTCACAACCCTCCCCAGTTCACCAATTATTGACAATATTCTCCAAGCAATTTATAATAAACATCAGGAAACCCAATAGTTAAACATATGAAAGTAGAGATGATAAATTCAGGGATGGCTGGAGCCACATGTTACCAACCATAGCCTCAGCATCCCTCAGACACTTCAGAACAGAACACTAAAGTTGGTCACCTTCCCTGCTAGTCTCCACGGAACTTTTTTTTTTTCTTTTAACTCTCATTTTATTTGAGACCAAGTCCCATATGTAGACTATGCTGGCCTCAAACTCATGGCTATCCTCCTGCCTCAGTCTCTCCAGGGTTTGGATTATTGTTGCATGCCACCAAGCTTAGCTCCTTCAATGGATTTCAATAAAGTAAAAGCAGATATGCAAATGTTTATTTAAAATTGTTAATAAACACTAGGTTCTATCCCTGCAGGGCTTCCATGCATTTGAACTTGTGTCATGTGCTATTTTATTTCCCTGTTCAGTTTGCAGCAAGAGTGCGCGTGCGCAGGAAGGCAAAGCTAGGGGTCTTCACAGACGGCTTTCTCTGGCAGGAGCTTGGCCAAACGGAAAATGCAATTCTCTGATACAGATCTTACTTTTATTATATTTAATTAACTAATTAACTAATTTGTATTTCCATAAGCATGGGTGTCCATGACACAGCATGTGTGTGGAGGTCAGAGGACAACTTGCAGGAATCAGTTCCTGCCTTCCATCCACCATGTGAATCTGAGATTGAATTCAGGTCCTCAGGTTGGGTGGAAAGAGAGGCCACTGAGCATCTCACTGGACCAAATTTTATTTATTTATTTTTTAGCAATGTTGGAGCTTACTAAAGAAGGATTTAGCATTGATTTAAGAAAGCACACGATGAGAGAAAGGAACACCTTAGAAACTGACAGTTCTTCCCGCCTTACAGGGGTACAGCCTCCTTCCCCTAGTAGGGTGCCTCCCAAATCTCATCTTGAATCCTCTGTCAACACCCACTCACATTCTATCTCTCGTTCTTTGTGCTTCCCACTGACAATTTTGAAAAAGTTTCTGCTGCAGTGTAAATTGCCTTTCTGGGTTTTGCAAATTATTGGTTACATTTCAAATAAAAACCACCTATGGAGAATTATCTGCTGCAAAGGGAGCAGAGGGAATGCCTACCAGCAGGGCAGGAAAACATTCTTTTGCAAGGGGGTTGATAAAGCCGTATTTTGGATATCACCATAGGTTGAGCCTGGATTAGGCACACTAGCGTGGAGAGCTTTTCTTTTCCACATTTGTTTCTTAAATTTGAAAGTTCTTTTGCTGTGGTCCTAAATTTTAAATCTTCAAATGGAAGTGTGCTTCAGGCTGTGGGTTAAGATTGATTCTGCTCCACCAGGGACTATTTCTAGGAGGAAGGAAGTCGGTCCTTTGTAACAAGACTAATGTGCTTGTGGAAAGATGGACTGTGGAGGAGGCAAGTGAGGAAGGAATGCCCACCCGCAGCCTCAGGGATCTGTGCGTGGGACCTGGGGCCTCACCTGACGATGAAGCTCTGTGGCCGGTGCTCCTGGAACAGTCGGTGGAAAGCCCGTTCTGCACAGGAGAAGAGGTGGGGTGGCAGCAAGGGGCTCCGCTGGCCTGTGGGGCTCAGATAGAGCTGTGACACCTGGGTAGGCAGACGAAGGACAACAGGACGATGAAACTAGGACCCATTCCTATCTACCTGTGTGCCACCCAGAAGAAGACAGCTATAAACTGAACCTGTTGGGAGTACCTAACGCTTGTACAATCAGTCCCACATCTTAGCACAATTCCATCAGACTGAGAGGCAAAACAGAAGATTAGATCTATTCTTTGTTTTTTGGTCTACAAGCCTTAAATTATTCTCAAGTATTAAAAGAACAGCAAGGCTCAAAATTCCGTTGAATAACAAACCACCATGGAATAGGTCTAAACTGTACTCATTCACACTAAATTCAATTTCTCTCTGCAGTGTTTAGGGTTGACATTCTAAGATTGCAGGGATTCTAAGAAGCACATAGAAATTTATTTACCCACTTCTCAGAGATACAGCAATGCAATTACCTTAATTTCAGTGCATCTGTGACCTATCACCACCACCAGGTTTTGCTGTTAGTATTTTTAATTCTCCAGTTCCTAGTGAATTTTACAACATTAACTGTCCTGAATCTTTAAGGACAACTGGGTCAGGAGCCCAGAAGGGACTTTTCTGCTTTTAAATATTTCAGCATTTAAAAACAACTAATAAAGTGATTAAATAGTAGTGCTATATAATTTGCAATACATAAACAAAGAACTATTAGGCTAGGTTAAATTTTGCAGGACACATTTCTGTTCTTTTTTTAATTGTTTTTATTTTGGCGAATTTCATACATGAGTACAATATTTGCATCATTTTGGACTCTCCACACTTCTGTTCCTCCTGTATCCCTCCCTTTTCTTTAATTGTGTGTGTGTGTGTGTGTGTGTGTGTGTGTGTGTGTTATATATATATATATATAATGCACTGAGTCACTTAGTGGTGCTCCTGTGTACCACCCACTTGGGATTAGATAACCTCTCAGGGAGCTAGTCCCTTAGAAAAACTGGTTCTCCCTCAGATCCGTTGATTGCCTGTAGCTCTTCATCAAGAGGTGAGACCCAGTGAAATTTTCCCGTTCACATTGGCACGTCAGCTATTTTTGTCATTATGCAGATCTTGTTAGGCTACCGTACTGTGGAGATTCCATGGGTGCAGCTTCCCTGTCATGTCTAGAATGCACTGTCTAGCAGCAGGCTTCTGTTCCTCTGGCCCTTACAATCTCTCCACCCCCTTTTCTGCAAATTCAATTTGCTTGTAACCCAGTGAGGGTCTCACTGATGTTACAAGCAAAGTCAGAGAAGAGACCTTGGAGCATGAATGGTTTCCGGTGCTTATTCATGCTTCTTACTGTGTTTCTATGAACCTGTTTGGGGCTGGCCAAAGACATGATTGGGAATCACCAAAGTGATGACTGCTCATGATAATCAGACTCACAATTTCCTTAGCTCTCTGCCCTGTAAACCCACTCTTCTCCACGTCGCCTTGGAGTATAAATGTAGTGGGTTCCACTGCTGTTCCTGGCAACCTCTGTGCAGAGATGATTGTTTCTGTGCTTTGTAAAGTTATGTGGAAATAACAATAACAGGGCAGTGACATGTTCAGTTTGGGTGTTTTTCTCTGTGTGTATGTGTGTGTGTTGGGGTGTGTGTGTGGTATGTGTGTCAGAGGTGTGTGTGTGTGCTGGGGTGTGTGTGTGGTGTGTGTGTGTCAGGGTGTGTGTGTGTGGTGTGTGTGTGTGTGTGTGTGTGTGTGTGTGTGTGTGTGTGTGTGCATAATATGGACACCCATGTGTGCATGTGGAGGCTGGAGGTCAGTGTCAGGTGTTTTTTCTATTCCTTTCTACCATCTCATTTCAGATAGGATCTTTCACTGAACCTGGAACAACTGGAACTCACCACAATTTGGCTTGCCTGGCTGGTCAGCAAGCTCCTCAGAGTTGCCTGTCTCAGCACAACCCTCTCCCCCAGGGTTGGAATTACAGGTGCATGTTGCTGAGTATACCCAGCTTTACATCTGAATTCAGGTTCTCATGATTGTGCATCAAATGCTTTACCTGATGAGCCATCTCCTCAGTGCCCATTTCAGTATTTTCTGTTGAAACTTGAGGATTTTTAAATGATGCAGGTTGAGTTTTCCAAGTGACTTTTATATTGGTTCTAATTATTGATATTATCAGTAATCTCGATAATGATAACCAATATAAAAGTCACCTCAATAAACTCATTCATCCACCAAGGTAGTCATGGGTGGACTTATTTCTTTGGTCTATTATTGGTGTCCTCCTGGGGTGCACAGATGTTTGTTCTCGTTTGTCAAGAAAAAGTAAGTCTCTAAAAAGTCTATGCAGTTTTAAGGATGAAGACACTCTATGTTAACATCCCTTTATATTGCAACCGATGTGTATGACTGGATGCCGCAGATGTTCCTTGGACTGACAGAACCAGTGCAGAGAGATCCGATGACTTTTCACCTTCTCTTCCTCCTCCCATACACCTTTCATGGTTAAAATGAACGATATCAAATGTTTTCAGCATAGGTGGGCAGTGCTGTAAGGATCCCTGCTCCTTGTTATGTCTGTTCATTTAGAACTTGCTGCCTGTTCTCCTGAAAGCTCCATTCTTCCCAGTGAGTTGGTGCTGGGCCCACATTGCCATGGTTGCCTGAAGTTACAAATGGGAAGGGCACCTGCTGATGTGTGTCTGCATTCCTCTCAAAGTCAGGCTTTTTAGAAAGGGCCTCTCTCCATGACCCACTGGCAATGAGAAGCAAGGGCTTCACAGGACACACGGATACTAAAGAACGAAGTCAAACAGACTCTGCAGTGTATTTAAACATGAAGCATGGGTGCATGACAGTCTCTTTATTTTTGTGATCTTTATAACCATAGAAATCATTCATGTATTGTTTTCTTCTTTTATGAAAATGATAAACGTAGTAAGAAATTGAACTATTTTAAAATGACTTAGTATAAGATAATAATAATAAGTATAGTAATGAATAGGCTCAAAATTGATGCATTTTGTGAATCTAGAGGGTTGTTAGCCCACATTAAATATTTCTTCACATGAGCAGCTGATATTAAATTGCAAAACTCCAAAATTGCTGGAGAAGACACCGAATCAGCATCAAATCAAGTCCCTGTATCAACCTCACACCAGTAATTTTGTAAGTAGCTGCTTATGGACAAAGAAAGCACAAAAAATCCGGGATTCTGCACAATCAATATGAATTCAGACATGCCAGGCGCTCGCAAGGCTGGTTCCGGCCTGTAAAATGCAGGTTAATTTGCTTTGGGCTTCAGGCGGTGTGAATTTCATGTATTTTCAATTTATTTTTTCTGCTACAAGAGTTGAAAATGTTGGACGCAATGAATATGTGTCTTTGTATACTGAATGCCCATTAAATACTTGGTATAGTAAAACTTAAAATTTAATTTATATTTAAAATATATAAATATATG